GGAAGGAAGGAAGGAAGGAAGGAAGGAAGGAAGGAAGGAAGGAAGGATTCCTTCTACGATTCTTGAGTTGGTAGGCAGGTAGATGGACGGACAGAAACCGTTGTGGATTTCCTAGTCACCATTTCTGCAGCTCACCTCCTGCCTGCTGCATTTTGACTTCAGCTTTCTCAGAGGCAAGCGGTACTACTCTAAGAAGGCCTGCCCTGGGTGTATCCTAGAGAGAACACCGCAATTTCAAAGCTCCCCCAAACATTTCGGAGCCAGATAAAGGAATCTTTTGTGAACGGTTCACAATGCAGGCCAGAGAGAGAGAGAGAGAAAGAAAAGCAACGTTTCCAAACGCCCCAGATCTGGTAACCAGAGCGATAACCCACTGCAAATAGACTTTGCCGGCCACACTTAACTTTTCAGGAGATTTAGCGGCCCGATTGTTTTTTGTTTTGTTTTTTTACACTCAACTAGTTTTTAATTTAAAAAGTGACTTTTATCCCTTTCCTTCTGAAAGGGCCCTTTTGGGTTCAGCCCAGTCGGTGAAAGCCACAGGAGGTTGTGTGTGTGTGTGTGAGAGAGAGAGAGAGAGAAATCCTATTAGAAAGTTTAAAAAAAGAGTTTCAGGCATCAATGGATCCCACCAAGCCACGTCCATCTCCTTTTCCCCCTCTTCTTTGTAATCTGCTTCTTAGATTCTTAACGTCAAAAGGGATTAGATTCAGGATCCGCGAGAATCCCTTTCATTTCTCCCCCCTCACCAAAAAAAAATCAGTATAAGTTAGTGGAGTGTGGCTTGCTTGTTTTATTTATTTATTTGTTTTATAACGATGACCTTCTGGTTGTTTCTTTCACCCCGATCCCCCTTCTTTCTACCCCACCATCCCTCCGCCTGACACCCCCCCCCCCCATGTTGGAACTTAAAACCCACCCCTCTCCTAGGAAAATGAAATATTTTAGGATATACTAAAAAGGCAGAATGTTTCCCCTAAAAAGAGAAGTAGAAACTCGGAAGCAGAAACTCACTCCCCCCCATAATTTTTCCCAATATGTCCAGAGTATATTCATGAACTGGAATAGAGCATGGTAACAAAGTCAGCCAATGAATAAGCATAGCAACTAAATCAGCCAATGAGGACTGTTTGGAAACTGAAAGTAGAAGTAGCCTAGGCGTGGCTCTATATTAAGCTCTGCAGCTCTGAAGCTATGTTGAGCTCTCAGTCTGTCCGTTGAAAACGAAACTGCTTCTCTCCTCTTGCTTGCCTGCTGAACTAAAGTGAAACTGATGTCTGTTTCTGAGCTCCTGAGTTTCTGTTCTGCTCTGAACCTGTAACATGTCTGCTTCTGTTTGAGTTTGCTCCATGTTGGAGAAATCTACAACTGGTCTTGTAAAATTGACTTTATACGTTCATAACGAAGTTAAATGAAGCCTCATCCATCTGTGTTTACTTTTCTGGCGCTGAATTTACGCTGCAATACTCTGAACACGATATTCTAATTCAATGTTGTAGCCCAAAATTATTTTGCCCAAATTATCATATTTTCTTTGACAATTTATTTCTTTTTTTAAAAAAAAAAAAAAAAATTCTCCTCCTTCCGCAGAGATCTGTGCAGCCGACTGTGGGGTACACGGCACTTGCGTTGGGGGCTCCTGCCGCTGCGAAGAGGGCTGGATGGGGGCGGCTTGCGATCAGCGAGCGTGTCACCCCCGCTGCAACGAACACGGGACCTGTCGGGACGGCAAGTGCGAATGCAGCCCCGGCTGGAACGGAGAGCATTGCACCATCGGTAAGAGGAAAAAGTTGGGCAAGAAAATCGACCAAAAGGGTGGAGAGAGGATATGGGGGACAGAGCATGCTTAGCGGAATCGGTTGGACGTTAACGAAGCATGCAACATTCTCTCTTTTTAAAAAAAAAAAAAAAAAAAGATATTTTTACGTTGTTCTTGCATTGTTCACGTCCCCGTCTCACACATTTCAATGCCGTGATTCTCCCCTCAGCTTTGCAAGCCCCCCCCCCCCATGTCCTTTCCTTTGGCCAGACAAGCCCCCCTCAGCGATATAGAAACACAAGTCAAGGTTGCGAGAGATCGTCGGATGACCGATGCAGTAGGATAGCAATATCAGTAGCCCTTAGACTTATATACCGCTTCACAATCCTTTTATAGCCCTCTCTTTTCCTTTCATTCTCCCTTTCCCTCTCCCTCTCTTCCTCTCCCTCCCTCTCTCTCCCTCCTTCTCTCTCCTTCTTCCTCTCTCAGCCCTACCCACCTCCCAGAGTTGTCGAAATCCACAGTGTCAGAATTGCTTCATTTGAAAAGCACTTATTTAAACCATATCGGTATAAAAATAAGAGGCCATAAACTAAGGATTACTTTAACAGACCCATAGAAAAAAAAGTTCCATGTGAGGTGCAGGCTGTTCCCCAAAGAAGTACCGATTTCCTTCCATTCACTCTTTCCTTCTCCTTTTCTATCTAGCAGTAGAGAGCACATATTGTTAGCTCCTCAGAATAGCAAAAAACATTTTAGCTATCTCCCCATCACTGTCAAAGTTGTTTTTAGGTGGCGACACAGAAACTCACAATTTTGAGGCAGCCTTAAAAAAAAGAAAAAAGAACTAATGGACCTCAGCTTTATTTTTTGTCTGTCTTCAATAGGATAATATTGATTAGACAGACCAAGAATTGGAAATAGAAGATAATATTTGTAGTTTAAGGTTGGATTGTGGGGTCCTTGGTGGTCTCAGAGTTTGGTTGGTTTGAACTGGTGATGTTACCTAGTTGAGTAATGAAACGTCTGCAAGAAAATAACCAAGCTCAGAGAGCATCAAGACTCTAAAAGTCCTCCTCCTCTTTCTGCTTTGCAAACACCACTCCCTTATAGCACTGATGATGTTACCTGGTTGGGTAATGAAACGTCTGCAAGAAAATAACCAAGCTCAGAGAGCACCAAGGACCCCACAGATACTTCTTCTTCCTCCTCGCCAAAAACCCCACTCTCTTTTAACACTGATGATGTTACCTCATTGGGTAAAGAAATGTCTGCAAGAAACCATGCTCAGAGAGCACCAAGGGCCCCACGGACCGAGAAATTAATTCATGCAAAACGCAATTTCCAAATCACAATTTCTAACCCTAACCTTAAGGGAATCAGTGCAGCTGTTCAGTTAGCAACACGGTTGTTAAGGGAAATTGGCTTCCCCATGGCTTGTCAGGTCACCAAAGGTGATCACACGACCCTGGGACTCTGTGATCGTCATAAATACAAATCAATTGCCAAGCATCTGGACTTTGATCACGTGACTTTGGGAATGTTGCAATGGTCACAAAGCATGAAACATGGTCATAAGTCTCTCTTTTTTTCAGTGCCACTGTAACTTTAGAATAGAATAAGAAAGGAATAGAATAGAATAGAATAGAATAGAAT